GGACCAACAGCAGTAGCCTCCGCGCCAACACCCGCAGCAACTCCAGCCCCAGAAGTACCCGCAGGTCCAGCAGCTCCAGTACTCCCAGTACGAGCACCTCCGGGACCCGTGGCACCAGCTCCCTCAGAAGCAACAGAACCTCCAGTACCCGCAGCACCTCCAGCTCCAGCAGCTCCAGCAGCTCGCCTCCAGCGCCGGGCAAACCACTCACGCAGCTCCTGGGGAGAGAGTGGCTCTCGGCGAGAGGGAGCACCCGGTGAACCGCCAGGCACAGCACCACCAGGCGTAGCACCCCCAGGCTCAGCACCCCCAGGCGTAGTACCCCTAGGCTCAGCACCCTCAGACGCAGCACCCCCAGGCTCAGCACCTCCAGGCGTAGTACCCCCAGGCTCAGCACCCCCAGTCGTAGTACCCCCAGACTCAGCACCCCCAGGCTCAGCACCCCCAGGCTCAGCACCCCCAGGCGTAGCACCCACACGCTCAGCACCCCCAGAGTCAGCACCCCCAGGCTCAGCACCCTCACCAGCACCAGAGTCACCAGCGACCTCGACAGGCTCAACAGCGTCTACCTGGGACACACCTGAAGGGGCAGGACCCTGAGGGGGAAGGGGGTCTACCGGGGGGGGACCTGGTACAAGGAAGAGCGGTGGCGGGGGGAGGGACGGAGTGCGGTAGGGGAAGAGGCGGTAGTAGGGGACCGACTCGTCGAACGTGACGTGCTGGGAGGACAGAACACGGCGAGAGGTAGGGTGGTAGAACTGCCACCCTGGGGCGTCAGGGGGGAAACCCAGGAAGACGCAAGGAGCAGCACGAGGGGACAGCTTGTCCGCAGACAAGTCGCGGACAAACGCCCGAGATCCCCAGACACGGAACGCAGACGCATCGCCAACCTTCCCCGTCCACAGCAAAGCTGGGGAGGTCTCCGGCATGGAGACCCTGGGCTGAAGGTTGATCTGATGCGCCGCGTACCGAACCGCAAACGGCCACAGAAAATGGGGGGCAGCCGCATGCATCATGGACGTACGGGCGACGTCCATGACCATGCCAATGCGGCGCTCAGCAATCCCATTTTGCTGTGGAGAGTCCGGAAGCATGAAGGTCTGGCGGATGCCTCGTGCACGACAGTAGGCTCGCAGAAGGCCAGAGGAGAACTCTCCGCCTCTGTCAGAGTGCAGACGCAGAACAGGAAAGTCCGAGCCAAAGCTCCGCCTGAGCTGGAGACGAGCTGCGCGGATCCAGTCGATCAACACCTCAGTGACATCACCCTTGCTGCGCAAGGGGAAGACTGTGGTGTAACGCGAGTAGTCGTCAACCACCAGCAGGAAGTAGCGCTCGTGACCCTGTCCACGGACGCGGGCCGGGCCCCACACGTCCATGTGAAGCGTCTGCAGCGGGGCCTCTGTCGGAGGAAACTGGGAGGAGTGAGGGGTAGCCCGCTGCCGTCCCTCGACACAGGGGACGCAGGTAGGGCCTGGCCCCGGAGGAAGGGGAGGGAGGGACCGGGGAAGACCAGAGACAAGGACACGGGAGGCCATGCTCCGGAGACGAAGCAGGGAGGGGTGGCCAAGGCGGTGGTGCCAGAGGAGAGTCTCGTGAGACAGGAGGCGACACGAGCAGGGGGCAGACTCAGGACCAGACCTGGACGCTGCAGCAAACACCTGACCCGACGCAGCTACCTGACCAGACGCAGGGACTGGAGGAGACGCAGTGGTCAGTGTGTACAGGCTCGACCCTGGCCGACGTGTAAACGTGGCCAGGTGGCGGCCTGTCCGAGCGTCCGTGCAGTGGGTCACCCGCTGACTCGCAGGAGTGAACTGGTGAACCCCCGCATCCTGTAGGTCAGCACCACTCACCAAGTTCGTAGAGAACGAGGGGAGGTAGAGACCAGACAGGGTGCCAGAGGGGGCCGCCGGACACGGGAGGACAGTGGAGAAGTGAGCAAGGACGGGACCCCCAGAGGGGTCTGCCAGGGAGACCGCAACTGGCCGGCCAAGCGGCGTGAGTGTGGTGCGGTCTCGAAAGAAGGAGCGAGAAGCCCCCGAGTCAAGTGTGAAGGTGTGGGAGGCCGAAGCCGACGCAGTACCTGAGAGAGCAGACTCACCAGCACCTGAGGGAGCAGACGCACCTAGAGCAGCAGCCTCGCTAGCACCTAGAGCAGCAGCCTCACCAGTACCTAGAGCAGCAGTCTCAATGCCCGGGTCGGGCGGAAAACACCGGTAACAGTCACCCTCATCACTAATAGTCACAGTATACACGGCAGCAAGAATAGCATCAAAGTCAAGGTCAAAGACAGCTACACCCGCCCTAGACAGCTCACCCCAGCGGGGGATCTCAGTGGCCTCAGGGAACTGGTGACGCCAAGCGTCCGTGAGGCGGCCAAAGCAGCGCTGGGTGGAGTGCGCACCCCCGCACTGCTCACCCGCGCGGTCGCCGGTGCGCAGGACGTAGGTGCACGGACCAGCACCCCCACCCCTCTGGCGTGCAGTGTACCACTCACGGAGCTGCTGAGGGGAGGGGACGTCACGAGTGCGCTGCTGCTGCTGCTGCTGCTGCTGGCGCTGACCACCACCGGAGCTGACCCTCTGCGCAGCGCCACCCCGACCAGCTCCACCTCCTCCGCCGCCTCCTCCTCCACCGCCGCCACCACCGCTCCCTCCGCCACCGCCGCTGCCTCCTGCGCCTCCACTGCCGCCACCTACACCTCCACCCCCGCCACCACTCCCACCGCCACCCCCACCTCCTCCACCACCTCCACCGCCGCCTCCACCGCCCCCGCTAGCTCCTCCAGCGCCCCTGCCCCCCTTGCCCCTGCCAGGGCGGCGTCTCCCGCTAGGGGTAGACGCTGCCCCAACCGACTCCAAACCAGCGAGGTCGGCCGCAGCAGCAGAGGCAACAGAGGGCAAAAGAGGGAAGGGGGAACACCCCTCAAAGATGGGGGTGCGAGGGTCACCACGAGAGGCTCCTACAGCGACTATGCTCTTTTCTGCTGCTAGGAGGGCCTTCTCGAGGAGGTCAACGGTGAGAGTGGTGGGACAAACCGAGAGGAAGTGGTCCCTGACTACGCGAAGGGAGTCAGGGAGACGGGTGACTATGTAGTAGAGGGTGATGTACATGGGGGGGGGGTTCTTGGCGCAGAACTCAGCAGGAAGCGCAGCGCGGTAGCGAGTGTCACTAGAGCGGAGGTGCGTAATGAGGTCAGCGACTGTGGGAAAGGCAGCAAGGTCAGGGAAGAGGTACGGTAGCATGAGGCGGCTCAGTGCAGCAGTGGCAGGGGAGGAGTAGCGTGCAACTACAGCGTCGTACAAGGTCTGAGCACTCTTGTACTGGCTAAAGTGCGCACGCTCAGAGGTAGGCAGGTGGCGACGCACAGCAAGACGTGCAGCAGCATCGTGCGTGGCCCACTGTGAGCGAACGGTGGCGTCAGCATCAGCAGCGGGGGCAGGAGAGGCACCAGAAGTGAGGTCAAAGAGGGAGAGGCCGTCTGCTCTGTCGCACTGTAAGAAAAGCTGCAGGTCATCTATCCAGACGTCAAAGTCAATGGCCCGACCCTCAGCGTCAAAAGCGAGGACACTAGGGGTAGCCATGACAGCAGTAGACTAGCAGTGCAAACAGTAGGGCGAGGGCAGTGCTGTGAGAGAGGCGCTGCTCTTACCGGACAGGGCGGTTCGGGCGGCTCGGCGGCTCGGCGGCTCGGCGGCTGGGCGGCTCGGCGGCGGGGCGGCTCGGCTGCTGGGCGGCTCGGCTGCGGACAGGGCGGCTCGGCGGCTGGGCGGCTCGGCGGCTCGGCTGCTGGGCGGCTCGGCTGCTGGGCGGCTCGGCTGCTGGGCGGCTCGGCGGCTGGGGGGCTTGGCTGCTGGGCGGCTCGGCGGGGCCGCTGAGAGGGCGGCGTCCGGCGCCGCTGGGAGGAGGCGGCGGGGCCGCAAAGGTAAGTGGCGGGGCCGCGGAGGTAGGTGGCGGGGCCGCACAGTGAGGTGGCGGGGCCGCGAAGGTAGGTGGCGGGGCCGCACAGGTAGGTGGCGGGGCCGCGGAGGTAGGTGGCGGGGCCGCACAGTGAGGTGGCGGGGCCGCGAAGGTAGGTGGCGGGGCCGCACAGGTAGGTGGCGGGGCCGCGGAGGTAGGTGGCGGGGCCACACAGTGAGGTGGCGGGGCCGCGAAGGTAGGTGGCGGGGCCACACAGGTAGGTGGCGGGGCCGCGGAGGTAGGTGGCGGGGCCGCGGAGGTAGGTGGCGGGGCCGCACAGTGAGGTGGCGGGGCCGCGAAGGTAGGTGGCGGGGCCGCGGAGGTAGGTGGCGATGGGCGCGACGGGCGCGACGGGCCGAAAGGGCGGCGCGACTCGGGCCGGCGCAAAACGCGCTCCGGGCAGGAAAAAAAAAAATTTCGTGGTGGTGGGCCCTAGGAATCGTTCCCACTAGGGAACCTGCTCGATACCATGAGAAGAAACGAGGAATACAATGACTAAGTGAAAGTTGGGTACAAGAAGCAAACCCTAGAAAACTGTACCCCATATGTGCTACCCCACTATAGCCTACAGTAGCTATGTCATATAAATCTGACAGGCTGTAAGCGTACGCGCTAGACACGCCCTAAGGCACACATATAGTACTCAACCCTACAGTATCCGTGCATGTTTTCCCATTGTATTCACGGAACTTTGCAGGTATACCCGGCTTTGCTCCACCAAAGAAGTTGAAAGCACCCGAGCATGCCAGTGTTGGTGACACCAGCTTGAGCCTGCCCATCTTGCAGCTGTAATCACTGAACGGCTCGTAGTTTGCCTTGAGGCACACCTGTGATACCAGCAGAAGGTGCAAGCATAGTGAAGGGAGGAAGTGTGTGTGAACGAGAAAACAGACGCAATGCCTAAGATAAACTGTATGAATATCACACCCATGCATATCCCATTTCCTCACCTGAACGCTGGTCATGGTGGCAACAGTGGCACTAGAGCCAGGAGCCGAGCGCGGGCAGACGAGGCCAGGATTGTTGCGGTAGAGCTCAGCCTAACTGGCTGCAGTCACCACTCCAGCCCCTGCAGCCCCATCCTCTCCAGACTGCATGCTCTGCTGCAGCAGGCCTTCGCATGTGTCCTGTGCTGTGAGCATGCCGTACTGCCAGCACTGTGGGATGGTGTAGGCCAAAGTGGCATTGCGCTCGATGCACAGAGAGCGGCCTGCCTTGATGGGCTCAGAGCAGTTCAGGCCGGGATTGAGAGCCGCAAGGTTGGCTGCTGTGAGTTTAAGCTGGGTGCTAATGGAAGAGCAGTTGTCGCCCTGGAGGGTTGAGTGAAGGGGGAGTAGGGAGTAGGCAAGGGATGCTTTGTTGAAGGTAATTGCACACACGCAGTTGGTGGAATTCAGATGCATCATGGATCATTTCCATGTATTGTGAGCCCTAACATGATCATTTTCCTCAATCGGGATACGGGAGGGAAAGCAGGAGGGGAGGGGGAAGAGGGGGATAAAGGGGAAGTGGGACTTTCTTTTTTCATGCATATGTTTGAATAGAGAAGGACGAGTGATATGACGTCAGAATCCACTTATTCCAGCCCATTGGTATGAATCTTCTTGCCCTACTGGAATAAAATCTCAAGCTCACATTGATGGTAGAGAAGAAGGCAGTGCAAGGGTGTGTAGGATCGCTGCCCAGCTGAATCACCTTGCCCGGAGGCAAAGGCTTGGTGCAGTCAATGGCCTGCCAACAGGAGCACATGAGTAACAAGTTGGAAGTAGGCATTTGAGTCGACTCAAAAGTCTCTTTGCCAGGAGGCAAAGGCTCGGTGCAGCCAATGTTCTGCCATCAGGAGCAGATGCATAGTCAGTTATATGGATGATGAGGTTGGATGGCTATATATATCAAGAGTCCTCATTCTGTTGCAAGAAAATTAGAAGCACATGCATAGCCAGTTGAACGGATGATGAGATGTGTATGGAGGTTTTGTGCGGTCATTCTATCGCAAGGAAAGCTTCAATTACCTGGACTCTACGTCCCATAACAAGCCCATCTCTTACCATCTCCACATCCCACAAACTTATAGCTTCATGCCTCCCACTGGCAATGCACCCATTGTTTCGCTCTCACACCGAGTTTAGCTGTGACAAGCCAACCAATGCGACGCCAGCAGCAGGGAGAACATCAGAGCACCACCAGTTGGCGCCAGTGACGGTCAGAGTAGAGGCCATGGTGTCGGCTGCAGGAAGGAAAGACGGAGAGAAAGTGCAGGGGGGATGCAGATGAAGCTACCGTGCTGCCATGCCTCGTGGCCGGCAAGGCAAGGCAAATCTTGATGAACAGTTAAAAAGAAAAGAACTTGTGGAAGTGCATGCAGGGTGTCTCGCTACAATGTATGAAGATGTATGATGTATTCATGAGTGAATGAGGCCAAAGTAGCGGCACCTGGGTCGCAGGTGGAGAAGGTAGTTATTGAGTGGCTCAAAAAGGGGATCTTGGCTTTTAATGCGACTCCAACAACATGCGTGAATAATGCAAGTAGCAGCACCTGGGTCGCAGGTGGGGAAATTGTCCATGGTGCTGCTGCTGATGTAGTTGGGAGGGCAGATGCAGGAGTAGGCGCCCTTGCCATCGTTGATGCATGTGCCCACGGCACAGGGGTTTGTAGGGTAAGTGCTGCAGACGTCAACTGTTGGGTTGTCACAAGGGGAGGGAGGACACGGGTGGTAGAACGTGGATGATAAAAGGGAAACACAAATGTTATGGCCATGATAGATGGGGTCAACTACCACAGCACCTCCCTCAATGCATCCGTAGTCAGTGCTGAGAGCAGCAAGAGAAGAGCAGCAAGGGAAGAGCAGCCACTTCTTTACAGACATGGCTCCTCAATACACTTTTGGATACACTTTTACAAATATGGATAACTCACCATATGCACATGTGTTGGAGCCCAGTCCATTAGCCACCTCAACGAACGGCTGATTGGCCTCGCCAGGAATGGTGCAGTTGCACGTGTTGCTGTTGGTCTTTGCGTTTGGCTGGCATGTGAAGCGACCGCACGGGTTCATGCTTGGCTGTAGGTCCCCATCGCCCTTGTAGCTCATGTGGCCGCAAGGATCGTTGGCAACTGGAGGGGTGGTGGAGAGAGGTAAGCGGAAGTAGTGTAAGCAGTGGGAAGGCAGCATGGAAGAGAGCTGATTGCCAATGAAATGCCAATGAAAACACACAAGTAAGCACACAAGTATTCGTACACATACTATTTCAGTCCAGTATCCGCAGCAAAGCATATGCCGATGCAGATGCCTCACTCTTGACAATGGGTTAGATGCTGGTTCTTGATAATTAGATGCCTCACTTTTGACAATGGGGTAGATGCCAGGCAGCACGTTGATGCCACACACGCCATCCCCTCCCTGAATATCCATGCGCATGTGGCCCTTGTCTCCCCACCCCGCTCCCCATGAGTTGCGGATGATCCAAAACGGCGGAGTAGTCGAACTTTGTTGGCTCCCGGTTGTTGAAACGATGTATCCAACAACGAGTACAGCATGGTTCAGGTTGCCAGTGTAGCAGGCAGGATCTTGGTATATGAAGCTCTGAAAAAAAAAAAAAAAAAAGATAGATGACAGCCACAGGGAAGGTAGATATAGAGACATGAGGAAATGCCCCTGCATGTATTGGCTTGATGTTGCATTTGTGATGACAACTACAGCGGTAAATGACTAATAAGAACAGTTAGATACCGTAATGAGTTTGTTCACACCACACCGTCACATGATTAATTCATCGCAACTACATACCCCGTCATATTGTACGAACGTGGAAACAGAAGCCTCGATCTGAACCACCACTGGCTGGCGCTTCACTGCCAGCATGAGCCCCACATACCCCTTGAACCGCGTCCGCTCAAACGCTTGAACGGGGCACCTTAATATCTGCAGGTCACGGGCATATGGGAAGCATTGGGAATCAAATATATGAAACCACCACAGCCAGTCAGGAGAGGGCTGGAGAAGAGGGCAAGGTGGGAAGGGCTAGAGAAAAGGGTGAGGTGCAAGATATGAGGATTTCTGCCTGTCGTCAGAGAACATGGATGCAAGCTTCATGACCCACCTGGGAAGATCTTCCCGACTCATTATCCGAAGGGCTGCAGTGCGTGGTGTTGAGGCTTTAGCCATAGGATCAACAGCTAAAACAAACAGTGTGAAAAAAGTGGATGCATGCTTCATCACCTACCTGAGAAAAAAAAAAAAAAAAAAAAACCTATTGGACCGAATGGATGGACCATTCTGTCTCATTAGCCTGACAGGTTGTATTGGTCTCTTGAACGGATGTTGAAGTACGCCTTTTGAGGTTGAAATACCGTCATGGTGGCTGCCCTGCTAGGTTTCTTGCATTGGTGGTTTCTAAGATGGATCGATGCCATTCTTACCGTCGTGCTTCCGGTGAGTCCACCACGTGGCATAGTGCTGAGCTTTTTGAAGGCCGCATCAGGAGAGTTCCCGGCGGTGCACTTGGCAGCAGGGGACTTGAGCCCCATGACTGTAAAGAGCGAGTCCACTGACAGCTGTGGCGCCTTTTGTTTCAGCGCAATGCCGTATGCTGCTTCGACACTCGCCACCACCGCATACGCCCAGCTTGCATCTGAAACGGACCGTGTCAGAAGGAGGGGCGCCAGAAAGGTTGAAGAGTTATAAACAAGCAAATAGCATAAGGTGTGTGAAATAATAAGGCGCTTTCATAAGGAGCGCTTAGAATCAAGCAGCATCGCCCCAAATCACAAACACGCAAGTTGTTCCATCCATCCACCAGCAGAGCAGAGTCCTCTTGATCCAGGCACAAAAGCACAAAGCACGAGCATTCAAGACCCCAAAGCACGAGCACCACCACCGCCAATGAAAATGCCATGGAATCTATGCCCCACTTCTGGTTCCCCAGGCCCACTCACCGCAGTCCTTCTGGTTCTTGACTGGCCAGGCAAGGAAGGGCATGGAGTCCCAGGAATGGGAGCTGCTGATGCGCCATCCTTCGGGCGACGCTTGGTAGTCCGCACTCATGTAGCGCGTGAAGGGGCTCGCTCCCGGTGGCGCATACGACGTTGGAGAGAGAGTCAGGCCAAAGGCTGGGCAGGCAAACGTGGGCGTTGTCAGAGGGCGGAGTTGAATGAGGGATGTGGTTGTGTGTGTACACAGGTCTGGGTGTGTGTGTGCACAGGTCTGGGTGTGTGTGTGTGCACAGGTCTGGGTGTGCTGCTCTTTCAGAAGATTGCAATTTGAGTGAAACATAAAGAGCAGCAGTACAGTGTACCGTTGCTTGAAGGTAAGGAGAGTGACATCAAGGCAGCAAAGAGAAGCATAACTAGTTATATTTGACGCAAAGGGAGATTGGGTTGTTTACCTGGAGTAATGACTGGCTTCTGTGGATCAGGGAGAGCTGTACAAAGGGGCACATATGCGGGACACATAGACAGAGACATGGCAGTAGATGGTGATCAGTTTTGACTCTACTGAAAGAATAGTTCAGCACACTCAAGTGCTCCTTCCCTTTCATGGAATTGTATGTGACACTACTACTTAACTAACTAGCTGTACCAGCAACTGAACCGAAGCAAGAGGCTGAGACTCATGTGTAAGTAGCAGCAGCAACGCATGACCATAATCATCTTTGCCGCCGCCAACACCAACACCACCACCACCACCACCACCACCACCACCACCACCACCACCACCACCACCACCACCACCACCACCACCACCACCACCACCACCACCACCGCCACCACTGCCGCAGCCGCCGCCGCCGTCGCTGTTGTCATCATCATACAACAACAAAAGCAACACCACGTTTATTGCCCTCACCTCACCTGTTCACACCAAGGTGACTTTTGAATCGACTCGAAAGTCATGCAACAGCAAAAGCAGCAGCAGTATCACGTTGCCCTCCTCACCTGTTTGCACCGCAGATTGAAGAATCAGATGCATCTGGTACGGCTTCTCAGTGGTGGACGCCACAAAGCCAAAGTAGAACGCCTGCTGCTCCGCACCAGCCTGCAGCACCTCGCACAGCGACAGCCTCTGCCTTAACAGCGGCTGCTGTGGCTTCACCTGTGAAGCCGCCAGGAACACCTGGATGGTGCCGGGTTCCCCAGGCTCATAGTCCACCCATGCCGTGTATGCCTTCTTGTTGTTCAGAGGAAACGGTGACTTCACAGCAGCTACCGAAGTCTCCTGACCTTTCGTGTCCAGCCCCACGTGCTGACCGAACATATCCCCAAGCTGCTTGTCCTGGAAAGCATCGAATTCAACTGCTATGCTCCGCTCGTCCATTCCATCATACCCCACACCGGCCCTGGTCCCCACTCGGTCCGTTGCCGAGACGACAAAGGCAAACCCATTGTTGCCCCCACGGAAAGTTCCAGTCGACATGGAGAAGGTAAACTGGGCATGGAAGGCCAACCGCGTTCCACACCCTGTCGATGTCATCCCTGCCTCGTACAGAAACAGAGGCAATGGAGCTGCTGTGAACGCCCCCTTGATCTCCCTTTGCGCCCCCTTGGTGAGAGCAGTGGCTTGAGGGAGAATGGGCTGATTAACTGTGGAGCTTCCAAGATCACCTGGAGTTATGCGCAAGGGGAGAAAAGGAACATGTTAGTCTGTAATAGTAGCAAAAGATGGGGGTGGGAGGTTGCTTGGATGATGTAATCAATAGGGCAGCGCAAACAAACGACAAGGATGGGATGGGAAGGGTGATGTACAGCAGAATGCTGTGTCCAATGGCTTCAAAACAGTGGCAAGAAACACTAGCTCGCCCTACTCATCTGCTTCTGACATTTCATGCTCTCTTCTCGCAGGGTGGGGGCCTTCTGAGTTGACTCTAAAGTCACTAGCTTGTCCTGCTCATCTACGTCTGCTAAGATTTCATGTTCTCTCCTTGTAGGGCGGGGGTCTACTTCTTACCTTTGGCAACACAGGTATGGCTCTCAAGCTCGATGAATCCCGGGTCACAAGAACAGCGCGGGACCATTGTGGCCTGGTTTGGAATGCAAATCCCATTACCACCGCAAGCGGCAGTAGTAGAATCAGCACCAGCTGCACCAGCTGCACCACCAGCAGCAGCGGCGGCGCTTGCACCATTGGAGGACGAAGGTGCAGCAGAGGAGATGCCACAGAACGCATTGCATGCTGCTTCCGCCCGCTGCACCACCAGGGCACAGCCAGACGGCACGGTGAAGCAGTTGGCGTCAAATTTGCGAGCCTGGCACGCCCAGTCGGGGAGAGGACCCGAGAGGAAGTTGCTGGCGAGGCGCACTGTGCTGATGGCAGCAGGCAGGTCCATGGGGCCCGAGAGGTAGTTGTAAGAGAGATCGCTGGGAGAGGAATTAGGGGGGAGAGAGCGGGTGTATGGGCAGTGAGGGGGGGGAGTGGGGCGAAGAGGAGGAAAAGAGAGCATGATGAAGAGTGGGGGTTGGGTGTAAACCAAGGTTTGCTGAAGTATTGGAGAGGTTTGGAGTGCAAAAGGCAGTGTAGCTTACAGGAAGGTGATCTGTGTGATTTTGTGAGTTGTGTGAGATGAGAGGACATTACAGAGGCGCCTACAAAAGGGCAGTTTGGCTTGCGGGGGAAGGAATGTGAGCTGTGTAAGCCGTGTGTGAGCTGTGTGAGTTGTGTGATCTGAGACAGGAATACTGAGGCGCCTAATCAAAGGCAATGCAGCTTACAGGAAGGTGAGCTGTGTAAGCTTGGAAAAGCTTCCAGGAATACGGCCGTACAGCTGGTTGGAGGCAAGGGATCTGATGATGTCAAAGGAGTTCAAAGGTGACAAGGGACACAAGCAGACAGACAGAAAGCCATGAGGCTCTATTGTTGAGGCAGATCTTGAGACATGCTGGAACACGTCTGAAGTTTCGTTTCTTGAGGCGCCTCAAAAACAGGGCGTATGGTACAGGTGGTTGGATTGGAGGCAAGCGACCTGATGCTGTCAATGTTGGAGGAAAGGAAGCAAGTCGACAGCCATGTTGACAAGTAGGTAGCAATGCTTGCAGGGCACTAGAGGGGTGAGTGAGGTGAGCCTCGTTAATAAGGAGCTAAATGGCACTTTACATGAGAAGAATAAGTACGTGTTCACTGTGCGGCTCGGTCACGATAGTCTGAACTTGGTATAAATAGAGTGCTTTCTCAATGGGAATTCTGTCCACGCTGCTGTGATGAGGACGTCACGGGGAGAGCCTGTGCTGTCATTAACTGGAGCAGTGGCATAGCGTGTGAAGTGTGGGAGGGAGGTGAGCTGATGATGGAGTGGATTCATCCTTGCATGGCTGTGAGCCAGCTTACAGATAAACCAGTTGGGAAAGCTTCTCGATGATGTCAAGAATTGTTCCTTCCAGAAGGTTTCGCTGGAGATCCCTGCAGGTTCCGTGGATGGAACGGATGGGTGGGATGAACACATATGAGTGAATGATCCGGCAAGATAAGGCTGCAAAGGTGTGCTTCAGGAAGGGAGAAGCAGGCAAGTTGCAGATAATGGGGGCTTAAAGTGAGCGGTACACAGTACAGAAGGAAGAGAACAACAGCAGGTGAAGTGAGCTGACTTTTGAGTCGACTCAAAAGTCAGCAAGATGCAGATAATGGGGGTGTAAAGTGAGCGGTACACAGTACAGACGGAAGAGAACAACAGCAGGTGAAGTGAAGAAGAGCAACACACGACATGCAGCGTCCTAGGTTAGTTGGTGAGCAATACATGACGGATAATTTGGTGAGCTTGGTGATGGATTCTGGGATGCGTCCTGAGAGGTGGTTGCGAGACAATGTGCTGGGTCAAAGACAGGAAACAACGAAGGAAACGGGGGGGGGAAAAGCAGAGGTAAGATAAGGTCCACCTCACTTTGCTCAATTTCTTGCAATGCCTTGGTGATGGCAGGTGAAGAGTGGAGGAGAGATTTGGTTGAGGTGAGGATTTAAAGAGGAAATGAGACATGTGAAGCGCATGAGGACCGCAGTTGTAAGAATGTAAGGCATGTGCAGCGCAGCTATGTTGGTGTTACTTTTGAGAATTCTCAAAAGTGACAAGTGAAGCGCAGGCGGACAGCAGTAGTAGGAATAAGAGCGAGACATGTGTAGGATGGGATTGGCACGTGACATACAGGATTGCTACGTGTGAGACGATGCTGATGCCAGATGGAATCGGGCCAGTGAGGCGGTTTTTGTGAGTGATTTTTAAAAATTTCTCGAATATCAACAGTTGGCGTACAGTACTGCTAGGTCCGAGAGGATACTTATGCTTGATGGAATCTGACCAGTGAGGCGGTTGTTATCAAGAGCCCTGATGAGAAAAAGTAGAGATAGTAAGGTGAGATATGCAGGGAGATACGATTAAGTGGGAACGGACGCAGAATGGGTACGCAAGGGTTAAATGTCCCAGCACAAGAAGCAGCACCACCCGTCGTTAAACGGGACAAGTATGTATAGTAGTACACTCTACATAGTAGGACTTAAGTATTTCTTACAGAGCTCATAGATGCTAGGGGGCTCGCATAGGAAGCTAAGGGTTTGATACGACTCAAAGCACACCTGTTCATCAGCATCAAAATGCATTCGATGTGAATACTCAGGAGGGATGGTACTCATAAGTTGTACCTTGAAGAGATGAAGCGAATGGAAAACAGAAGAGCGCGCTTATTCCCGTACAGGGCAGGCAGGCAGACAGCTTACAAGCTTTTGAGTGCTGTAAGACCCGTTAGGAAGGAGGGCACGGTCCCTGACAGCTTATTGGAGTGAAGATAGCTGTAGAAAGCAAGGGAAGGTGGGGGTTCAGCAGAATTGCATTACACACCCATTACTCATTGCATGCTCGCCAGTCTGGTTTGCAGCAACAGAGGCTGAAAGGTCTCCTGTTTCAGTTTGAAGTACTTGATTGATGCTGTTGCAATGCAAGGAAGGTCCAAGGCACAACCACGCAAGCATAACCACAAGGGCGACACTTATGCTCACAGCTGCAACAATATGTGCTTATCCAGCAATTTGGGTTTAAATCTGAGCTGCCAGCTGCTGCTTTTGAGGCGCCTTTGAGGCGGTTTTTGAGACGCCTCAAAAAAGCTTCAATGCATGCAGTTTTTTTAGGCGCCTCAACAAAAATAGCCAACAATTTAGGTTGGAATTTGAACTGCCAGCTACTGCTCACGCATAGGTTATGGAATGTATGGGGTTCTAAGGTATTTTGTGCTTAAACAGTGACTATTAGTCGAGGACAAGCAGGTTTGGTGACTTCGAGAACAGTTGATTTATACAAATGGAAGAGGAAATAAGAGAGTGCAAAAAAAGACGAACACTGAAGTAGAGTAGAGCCAGGTTTCTTACAGGGCAACCAGAGATGCCAAGGTGCCAATGCTAACAGTAATAGGCCTGGACAGCTGATTTTCTGTGGAGATTCTAGCAGTTGTACACATAGTATGGTACTATGGTGGTTTCACATAAAATACAAGTTGAACATGCGGGATACGTTTTTTTAAAGTGTGAGAGTTTTGCACATAAAATCAGTGAAAGAGGTGCAAGAGGCTGTTCTGAAGAAGCTCCATGCAGTAGTGGCCTCAGGAGGGGAAGGGCTGGAGATCGGGTTGTGCACCCGCTTCAAGTCCAAAGCAAGACGTATTTTATGATTGTGCTGTACTATGTTAGCAGCTAAGTTGTGTCCCGTGTGAATAATATGCTGGTGGGGCTTTTCTTGAACAAGTTGCCTAGATGCTCGAAACAAAGGCTCGAGTTACTGTGCTCCTTGAGGCGAGTAATCTAGTCTTCTACTCATTTTGAAGCAGCAAACATTTGCCTCGTCCCCCATCCCCTCCCACAATCCGCTACCGCAACCATGCCGGCATCACAAGCGAGCATTTCACAGTCACCGGTAAGGATCAGGAAATTGAGTGTTCTAATAGCCCAAGTAAATTAGACAAAACTTCTCTCACCCACTCTCCCCCCCCCCCAATACTTTACTTGGTTGAGTAGAGAAATTCCCTCCCCATCTCCACCCCCTCCAGACTCTATTTGATTGAGTATATTTTCTTCTCCCCCTCTCCCCTCCCTTGATACTCGACTTGATTGAGTAAAACAGTCCAGGAAAAAGTTTAGTCGACTGAAATGCGCGTGAGTAACGAATAGGCGTAGGGAACAGGAACCAAGCTGCAAAGTGTGGCATACAGTTCTGTAAGGCCGGTGAGGGAGCCAATGGAGTCAGGGATGGGTCCAGAGAGCTGGTTGTAAGCGAGGGATCTGGTGGTTGGGCATTCAGTCCAAGATTGTAAGTGTGCAATTTCAGGTGTGGGACCCACCCGCAGAACTAATGAAAGAGAACGAGACAAAAGGCAAGGGCGACTGAATGCAAGGACGGAAACACGTGTGAGAGCTAATCCGCAAGTTGATGCAGCTTACAATGACTCCAAATATTTATGGTTGGTGGTTGTGGCCGGTATGGTTCCATACAGCTGGTTGAAAGCGATAGACCTGATGGCATTGATGGCCATGAGGAGAGAGCAAATGCAGACAAGAAGAGAAAAGCGAGGGGGTTGTGGGTTAGGAGAGGGGGCCATGATTGCTGTATAATGGCGTTATTACTGGTGCCACAGAGGTTAACTTGCACAATTAAGAAATGGCATGTGTAATGTTACACAGAGCCACATATAGACACCACATGAGGGAGGAAGTAATTGAGATAACTTGTTACCACTCACAGGCGTTTGAGTTTGGTAAGGCTGTCGATGGTTGTGGGGATGGATCCTGTAAACTTGTTCATGCTAAGCAATCTGCACAAGTGATCGGTGCATCAACACAACGAGACAACAACACTGCCGTAATCAGCAACAGTAGAAGGTTGATCAGTCGAGTGAGTGAATCGGCCGTTGTTGTCTTATTGTGCACACATGGTGCTCACTGATACACATCATCACTTCCCGCACACTTTTTACACATTCTTTTCACACTTGTGGTCGTGCCTGCATGCTCGTTACACCTCTGTGCTCAATAGAACGAGACAAGCAACATGGGTAGAGCCACAAAGGCAATGACCTCAAGCATGGCCTCTCGCTTACAGTTGCTCAAGATTTGCAAATGAGAAGAGGTATGCTGGGATGCTTCCACTCAGCTCGTTCCGACTTAGGTCCCTGCCACGTGGAGAGAAGCATAGGTAAATATTAATCAGTTAGTGGGTCACGCCATGCAAGTTACCCGGCAATATTCTGCTGCAAGGTTGCAGAGTGAATCTTCTCGAAAGGATCGTGGAAGAGGGCAGGGAGGGGAGGAGGAGAGGGAGAAAGCTAGTGGTGCGGGCCAATGGAGACTTGCTTGGCAAGCCGTTCTCCTGTCCGATGATTTAGTTTCTTCCTCAAGGTTTTCCCTCAGTAGCATGCGAGCAGCTCAAGCATCCAAGGGCGGTGCCAGAGGGAAGAGAAGGCGAGGAAATGTGAG